AGCCCGGCCAGGAGGCGCGGGTTGTGTCCGGAGCCCGCCGGGGTGGCCGCGCTCCCGGCCCGGCGCCGGGCATCACGGTGGCAGGTGCGACCGCTCGCCCGCTGAGCCCGAGCGGAGCGCGTCGCCCTGTGCCCGCAGCTCCCCGCGCCCGCAGGGGCTCGCAGCGACGCGGCCCGCAGATCTGGGCGGGAGATTGCGGCAGCCGTCCTCCCCCGGGGGGCATTTCGTGGCTACTCGAGTGCGGTAGAAACCCACGATTTAGCACAGAAGCCACCCCAGAATCTCTGTTTAGACCAATAGGGCTGAATTGTGAGCAGCCAACGGCTTTATACAGTGCTGTTGAGTGAATCCTGGAGTGCAAAACGGAGGTCTAGATGCACACACTTTTGGGGGGAGCCTGTGTGTTTGTGCCCCCTTTGACGCCAATGTCCTTCTCTAAAGGTCAGCAATAAATTTGACCTGAACCTCACAGTTTTTCTCTGCACATTTCTGCATAAAAGAGAACGTTTTATTGCATTAAAAAATAATAATCCATATTGCACGGATTGGGTTCCCAGTTGTTTTGCAAGCCCCTCAGTGAATTGGCCACAGTAATTTATTTTTTTTCCCCAGAGATGTGCACAGATGAAACATAGGTTCAAGAACGGCCCCGAGCAGTTGGAGGGGTGTTGTATCAGGCACTGGACTAGCTTGGCTTCCCTGGCGACTGCTGTATCTTGATAGCTCTAAGGTCTTCATTTGTGTCCCGACATTTATATTGTAGCTTGAGCATTGCACTTGAAAATGAACACCACCTAACGAGCCCCATGATTGATATCAGTTGAACTGTGTTGTCTTTCACGTGGCAGTATTTTCCGTCCCTGGGATATGGAGTGTTTCGTCAGATTGCTATATTGCTCACTATGGCAGTGAATTTCCCTCGCCAGATCCAAGCTCAGGATGCCTCCCAGTTTCCTCTGACCCCAAGGAGCTGAGCAGAGGGGCCACTGATCCTTTTGTCCCCAGGCCCAGAGGCTTGGTGGCTGCCCCTAGTCCCTCCCTCCACACATGCACACTCTCCATGCAGTAAGAGGATTGTATTTCTTTTAATATCTACCCAAGCTCATCCTGAACTAACGTGATCCTCCTCCTGCCGTTTGCTCAGCAGCTGATCCTGCCCCCTTCCAGGCCATGGTTACTTGTGCAGAAAGCTCAGGATCTGCTGGCCTTGGGATCTGGGCCAGGTTTTGTCATTGCTTTTCCATACTTCATTTTAGCCACTTGTAGGTATTCCTCCTAGCCACCTTCCAAATAATTACTTGAATCTTCCGTCTGAAGCTTTCCACAGAATCCACTTTCCATCTGTGAAGGAATTTAGTGATATGGTCTGCTTTTTCACAAATTATTTCTTAATCTAGGTCACCAGCTGTTAATATGCCCAAAATAAATGAAAAGAAAACGTAATCTCTCTTAGAGAGCATTCAAGCCTTATGAATTGTCAAAAACTCACTTTTTTTTCGTGATCAAGGTCAAGTGTGTATTATGACTGCAGTTTTGGGTGACGTTCACTTTTCTGTGGGAATGGGAGTAAGAGAGGGCTTCCAGCGTCCCATTTTCTTCCCTGGGGAAAGCTGCGGGTGAAAAGTGCCTGTCGCACCTAGTGTAGGAGGTTAGACCACCAAGGGACTGAGAGTGCAGGTTCTGCCCAAGTTAAATTCTGCCCCCTTTTCGAGTCTGTGCAGCATTGGGATATGCTTGGCACACAGGAAAAAGAGTATGTGGACATTCAGGTGAAGCAGCCCAGTCCAGCCTAAATGGAAACCGCTGGAGAATGGAGAGCCCAGTATGGTGCTCTCAGGGGCTTCATTAGACATCTCCCCCACTGATACCTTCTTTCTACATCTTTGACGTCTTCCTCTTCTACAGTGGAGACTCTCTTCTGTCTTAATAACTGTAGACCACATATGTTCTTGAGACCCTTTGCTTCTTGTTTTTACAATCACATTTTCTTAAAAAAGACTTTACTCCCTAGACTTTCTTATCGTCAGTACTCCACCTAACAGCTTGCATACATTTTGGCTCCAAATGCATGACTGAATCACTTTTAGAGGTGACTTATGGCTTCTTATGAATTTAAAATGCATTAAAAAATATTGGAAGTCAGTAAAGGTTCATTGGAGAAAGACTGAAATTACATATGAGCAGAAAAAAATTCCAGCAAATTAGGAAACTCATAATTTTACCACCCAGAGATTTCACTATCATTTGACCTGCATCCTAGATCTTTTGCCATATGTATATGTAAACATTTATACAACCCAAATAGACTCCTACTCTGTGGTTTGGTGACCTGTTTATTTCATTCAATAATTATGGACATCCTTCTATACATGTGCATATTCCATCAACATTTTAAATGACTGGACAGTATTGAAGTATATGGATTTTGCCGAATTCTCTACTTTTTGGATATTCATTTTCTAATGTTTCTGTATATTAAATACAAGTCAATAAGCAAACTTGTAGGGAGAATGTTCAGTAATCTCCTTAGGTAAATTCCTAGAAGAAGAAATATTGTGTCAGAGGTTTGCTTGTTTTTATTATAGCTAGACTGCCTTCCAGAAAGGTTGTACCGATTTACATTCTCACCAATCATTCATGAGGTGCTTTGCCAACTGTGGATAATAAAATGTAAAACAATCTTTAGCTATGTCAATGGGAAAAAAATTAGTTCTTGATTTCATTTGTTTGGTTTTTAAAAATAAAACTTTTTTGCAGTTCTATTTTTTTATTCATGAATCGTGCATTTCCATTTTTGTCCATTTTTTCTGTAGCATCTCCATCTTGCTATTTTAAGGGCAAAAACCTTACCAGTCCTAAAGATTACACATACTCTTTCTTCTTTTTTAATGAATTATTTAATTTTTTGGAAGATTTTTTTTCTGATAAAGAGAATGTTTATGTTTTATGTATATCTGCTTAAATCTCCTGATAGGCTTTGTATGGATTCTCTTTTGGGTGATGAATTAATCAGGATCCTGTTACTTGTGAGTATTAGAAAACAACTCAAACTGACTTAAGGAGAAAAGGAATTTATTGCCAATAATAAAAATAGTCAACAATTTATATATGGTTCTTACACATATAAATTTAAATGAGCTTTTAATATGTAAATACATATCTATTTAAGCTATATACATGTTCTTATACATATGTATGTATAAAAATATTCATATGTATTTGTATTATATATATTATATGTTAACTCATTTGATTTTATGAGATAGTTACTATTACTTACTGTTCCCATTTTATAGATGAGGAAGAGGTTAAATGACCAACATGCCCAAGGTCACGTAGTTAGTAGCTAGTACAGCTGGAATTTGAACCCAAACAGTCCAGTGCTTTCCCATGATGTGATTTTGCCTGTTATTATTGCAAAAAAAAGAGCAGGGCTAGACATACTTCAGGCCTGCAAGGTGCCAGGGTCTCAACTACAAAAGTCAAGGCTCAGGTGCCTTCTCTCCACCTCTTGTCTGTGCTGTGCATCCTGTCAGCCCCATCCTTGGGTAATCTTTTCTCTCTCGGTGGCAGGATGGCTGCCAGTAGCTCCAGGCAAGAACATGTCCTTTTTTTGTTTTTTTTAACTTTTTCATAAAACCTTTTTGTGCAGTTTCCATTGGCCCAAATTGGGCCTTGTGCCTATCCTTGGAAGAAAAAATATCTATGGCCAAGGTTTAGGATGATGGGTTGGATCGAACCTGAGTCCAAGCTACTTACATTAATTCCTCTACTTCTCCTTCCACCAATCATACATTTTAATTTGTAATAAGTTGTTGATTGCCAAAATTGTTGATTGCTGAAGATTGTTTTTAAAGGTTGAAGTACAAATTGAATAAAGTGCACGAATTTTAAGTGTTCAGCTTGATGAATTTCTGTGCATATGGATATCTGTATAGCTACCATCCAGATCAAGTTATAGAACATTTCTATCATCCTGGATACCCATTAATACTCTTGCCTTTCCTGTTGTCTTTTTATATTCATATGTTTTCAATTTATTTACTGTCATTTCCCCGATGAGCACCTTTTAAAGTAATTATTGGTAATTTTGGCATCATTTTTTGTGAAGTGTGTGTTAAAATCTTTTGTCTGTTTTTTATTTGGGTTGCTTGTGTCTTTCCTATTGATTTGTAGTTCTTTGTAAAGATATGTATCTTTTGTTGTACGTTTTGGGACTATTTTCTTCCAGACGGTGGCTTGCTTTTTTATTTTCTTAATGAAGCACTTTGATGAGTGGCAGTTTTAAATTTTTATGAAGTCCTTTCTGAGGATTACATTTTTTATGCAGCTTTTTGTTTTCTTTGGAGTTTTGTAACTGCCTTGTTTTTTTCAATTTGATTATTTTTCTATGAACTATTTGAAATTGTTTCTTCTTGCTTCATCAGATCTGTCAAATGCCTATCAATATTATTATCCAAGGTTCAATATATCAGATAATGTAGTTATTCTGTTTTCCTACTCTAGATATCTCTTTTGGAGCCTCTGCCCTTTTGGGTAACTATACAGATATCCATATTCTGGGCTGACTTTTTTCTGGACCTGCTACATACCTGTCATCTTGAGTCTTCCCTTGCCAGTATTGGGGTCAAGGAAGGGAACTAAAGTTTCAATTAGTCTATATTTCTAGGCTTTCAAATGGTTGCCTTTTAGTGTTGTGCCTCATCCTTACCTTCTATGGTACTTGGTGGAACCAGGTCCTAAGCTTGTGTGTTTTTATTTGTGTAACAGTGAGAATTGGGTGTTTTTCATTGGTTGCTCCAGTACAGGCACTTTTTTGTGTGATTTCCTCTGTTCTGCTGATTCGTTTCTATTCTGCCATTCTCTAGTCAACTTTTATAAGATGCATTGAACTCTCTCGCCACTAATGCTCCTTTTCCTGTTCTTGTTCTTGTATATTCATATTTTAAAAATTTCTTTACTGTCATTTTAGTTGGGATTTGGGATGAGATGAAAATAAGCACGTATAGTTAGTCTGTCATGTTTAACCAGAAATCTTTTTATTTAAATATTTGATCCCTCTGGGATTTATTTTTTTCTCGTCTTTTTCTATTTGTGGAATCCAGTGGCATTTATTTGGTCTTAAACTTTCTTGACCTCTATGCAATATTTATACTAGTGAAGAATTGCCTTTAGATATTTTTCAACATGATTCTAGTGAGCAGAGTAACCTTTGGTATGTTAAATAATAACCTCTTAAAGCATTATTATTATTTTTTAATAAGGGAGTTAGGCTATTTGAATTCTAAGGACCTGTTCAGTTTGATATTCTTTGTG